AACAAGTTCAAGGGATAATGCCTGGTACAGCAAGTCAGAACTATAAAATAATACATTTCTAAAACTAGTGGACACTAATAAATGAACTAAGTTTTGTGTTTCAGTGAGAGAGTGTAGGTGGGAAGGGCCAAAGGGTGTAAGGTGTGGTGGTAGGGAAGAAATTAGTTATTGTATTCCTACTAGCAAAATATGTATATATTGTGTGGGAAAAATGAAGTTCATAAGAAAAAAATTAAAATAAAATCTTTGCTGGCAGTGGTTCTGCCCTGTCTGGCTTATAGAGTTGACAACTCAAACATGTACATTGATGGAAGTGGCGTGAAAATTTTATGATAGGTGGTGCTTCTATCTAGTTGACTTTCTACTAAGTCACCGAGGTCCCAAATCTTTCAATAGCCAAACCATGAAATGTGACACTGGACACTCCTAATGAACTATGTTTCCTGATTAAATCACATCTACTTAAAAAAGTTGTGAACTTGGTAGGGTCTCACCCCTTGTCCTATAGTCCACTATGGAAAAAAATCTTGGACATGCATCAGTGACAATGTGGGCAATTTAGCTGGAAATCTTCTGCATATGTTGATCTCATTGAAATAGTGCTTACAGCATTAGTTTCATGATAGCTTATCAATTATTCTTTAATGGGTGAAAATCACACCTTATATGCATATTTTTTCAATCACTCAATGAATTGGCTGAAAAGTCTTGATAGCAGGTGTTAAGGGGTTCTAGTTTGTCCTCCATTTAAATGGAGCAGTTTTAGTGGCTGGCCTTTTTGGATTCTTTATAAATTTATTTCTAAACCATGCAGTCTACACTGCACAAATTGCATTCATAACCACTGGACCTTAAATTTATTCTAGGAAAATGTTTAAAGTGTAATTTTTAAAAACATCTATCTGTTAATTTCATACCTCTATCAAGTAGGCAAATGACCTGTATAGATAATAAGTACAATTTTTTTTTCATTTTTGGGGGGATTATTTTGAGCATTCTTTCAGGTAGATAGGATCTTTGTCCCATCTAGTGCTGCAGTGGAATCTCACTGCAGCATTCCTGCCCAGTCTGACATTCTATTTGCCTATAAAGTGACTACAATTGCCTTTTCTTCCTCTCCCTGCTGCACACTAGGTCTAGGCTTTGTGCTTCCTGACTCTCTTTCATAGATTTATTGGCATCATTGCACAGACTGCGAATCTCTTAAAGGAAATTGATATGATGTATCATGTGTATACATCTCATAATAGCTAGGAAAACTGGAGAAAATATTTTTTTTTAAAGTCAGGAAACACAAACTTATATATGCAACAAAGGAGTAAAATCCTTACTATGTGTATCAATTAAAAATTGTTCTTTGGCTAAATGTCCATATTGAAGGGATATATAATATCCCTGGCAAAAATGACAAGAGCCAGAGTCCAATTTACCCGGTTCAGTGCTGCTCCCTCGGCAACTGTATATGCTCAGAGACAGGAAGTTGCCTCAGAGTGGAGCTAAGTAACAGAGCAGAACAGGCTTTTGCAGACTACCTAAAGAAACAGGTAATGTGTGTGTGTGCGTGTGTGTAGAGAAACAAATACAGATACATTCAGAGAGAAAAACATGAAGCATCACCCGGGTCTGGGGATGCGGCAGAGTCCGACCTACACATAAGCTTTCCTGTCTTGTGTGTGGTCATGGTAGTAGTTGCACCAGGACTTAATTTTGATCCCCACATTCAAAGTTACCCATCAACTTTCTTTATCATATTCCAAGTTGCCACCCAGTCCACCCCAAACTTGAGTCCATTTGGACTAGTAGTTTCCTGGTTATTACATGGAAAACCTTATCTCTGGAAATACCCAGGATTTTGTTCACACTTTTGCAGCTTCATGGGATAGCCTTTTCATACCTAAGTTAACCCCTCCGTGCAATGCTTTTTTGTTCCACAACCATGTAATACTTTTTTGGCAAGCTCACTTTAAAGTGATTTCTTTGTTCTGCCAACCTCTAAATCTCTAGGAGTCTATACCCAACATTTGCATGTGCCTCTGAATCAGATGTACTCTAGTGTTTCAATGATTTAACATGAGCTCTTTTAATACCTCCCAGAAATTTGTATGAAGTTAGGTACAGACTAGGATAGCAATTTATTTGAATCTATTCATTCATTTACAGTTTTTTTTTTCCCCCAACTAATTCACTCACCAAGTCATATGCCACACTATGTCATGGAATACCAAACATCCAAAGATGGGAACGATAAACCCTTTCCCATAAAAGAAAATAATAATAATTGAAATACATAGGGGAGGAAGCAATGTCCCTTTCTAACTCTAGGTGTGCTACTTCTAACCAATGCAACATAAATGCACTAAAAGGGGCTGACTAGGATAGGATGAGTCACCTCTAGTTACTGCACCCATAAAAGCACCCAGGGAGCGGTACATTTCAGTTACTTATTCATTTGTTCCTTCATTCATCCAACCAACATTTAGCATTTGCCTGCAATGTACCAGATACTACTAGGATTTGGGGATGCTGAGGTGAATGGTTGGAAGGCACCAACCATTCAGGGCATTTCTACTCAAGAGAAGACAGTGAGTTAACTGAGAAATCATAGCAAAGCTACAAAATAATACCTTGAGTGGTCACTGCGATAGATGCCATTTGACTTTTAATCGGTCTGGGTTGGTAAGAATATCATTCAAGCCACTGTTTTATGCTGAGCATCATTTTTTTTTTTTTTAGAGGTAGGCAAGAAGACAAATGGCACTGCTGATGCCTGATGTCCCCTCACCCCCCACACACACTTGATTAATGGAAAAACAATAACCTTCTTGGTTGGTCTACCATTTTTTAAGTGTCAAAATACATTTTACTTAACAGAGCCAGATAGAAACATGCATTAGCCACTAGTTTTCTGGTTTAAATCCAATGCTTAATTTAATAAAAGAGTGAGAGATAGACCAAACACCTAGCTAAAAATAAACACCCCGTTAGGTTTTCATTGTTACTGCTTCACAATTATTGTTTATTTTATTCACATTTTTAATGGTTTTCATGTAATTAATTCAACCATACTACCCAGCTTTTTCTCACTCTTAGATTCAATTTGCTTTGGATGTTAAGGAAACTTTTAAAAATGTTTATAGGCGGACCCGCCCCGGTGGTGTGGCGGTTTAAAGCGCAGCACTATGAAGCTATCCACAGCCACTGCAGCACAAGTTCGATCCCCAGTCAGGGAGGTGACCCACATGGCACAACAGACTTCTCTTGTCTCACCCACTGCTCCCCTCAGCAGTGTACTTTGTCAATCTGCCTGTCCTGCTCCCCACTCTGTCTGTGGTGAATACTCTCACCACCCTGCACCCCAGTACTGAATGCATAAATAAATACATCTTTTAAAAAAATGCTAGAGGCAACTTCTAGACTGCCAGTCTCTTTAGGGAAAGAGTAGAAATACTACTTCTCAATTCAATATACATCAACAAACATGTTCTGAATGTCCACCGAGTGCTTTAGCAATTCAGAGGTGACTAAACACTCACAGTTTCCTCAGTAAGTTTCTAACATATAACAGAGTTCTAGGAAGTTTCAAAAGAGAGGCAATTGACTGATCAAACAAAATTATCATTATGTGCCCAAATAGGCTTCCAAATTATCTATGTGCTAAGAATGATGCTTCATTAAGTTACTCATTTTCTCTGGTTCTGGCAGCTCAGCCAGAGGGAAAAAAAAAAAGTTCTTTGATTGCAGTATATTGTCTGTGGCCCACATAAGATCCAAGCCAATACTTTTCTACACTAAGGAAGAAATATTTTTTTCACCACCCAGTAAACTTCTTTTGCTTCCTTTTTCCATCGGGTTTGAAATACAATCACCTATGAGTGCCACCATGTGATACAACACTCCTCCTCAGTGCCTCTCCCAGAGAGTTGTCTGCTCTCCACACTGCACAGCCTTTTACAAATATGCACACTTCAAAGAGAGTAAAGAATCATTTAAATATGTCATATATATGCATATACATATATACATATGCATATATATGCATATACATACAGCAAGTCCTCAATTAACACGGTTTTGCTCAATGTGATATTTATGAGAATTAAAAAAAAAAAAAAGTCAGTCCCCAGCAGGCCACTGTCTGGGTGGAGTGTGCCCGCTGTCTCCATGTCTAGTGGCTTTCTCCCCAGCATTCCAGTCACCGCCCACAACCCATAGGTGTGCAGGTAGGCTTTGCTGGCATGCCTCAACTGTGCCAGCAGGAGAGAGGTGTGTGTGACATTCCCTGGTGTGGCAGGGCATCCTGGACAGGTGCGGGGCCCACCTTGTGCCCTGACCTCCTGCCACCCTGACCTGGAATAAGTGGGCTGTAAATGAGAATGAATGAATGGATACAAGTGATGGCTTCATACGAGAGTGTTTGGGGTCTTTATCTAGAAGTTTGGTTGTTTTTATGAACAGAAAGATGCTGGATAAACCTAACTCTTATATATATGTCCATTAGCCTATGGTAAAATTGTTTTCTGTTGTTTCACTTAAAGACTGTTTACAAGACCTTGACCATAACTGGAATGAGGACTTACTGTATGTATACACTACAGTATACATTGCAAATACTATATATCAAGTCCTCCATATACTGAAGTAAAAGGGAGATATCATCATTAGCATCATTAGAGGAAATAAAAGGCATAAATTCTTTTGACCAGCCTTCAAGACAACATAATGCTATTATGCTACTGAACAAAATTTAAACATCTTCATACAGTTTTATTTCTTAGAATGTCACACTATTTAGTGTATTAATATTTTTTCAACTCCTGAGCTCTGTGAAACATTCACCTTTAGCATTTTCATATAACATTCCTTAAATATATTAGACAGTTAACACTAATGTTTTTAAGTAACTCCGATGACTGTTTTTCCACTTAGATTAAGAGACTGCAAGATTAAAAGACTAAACAAAGATGTCTTGAGACATCCTTTGTTTTTTTAAGGAAACATACCCAGATGCTGTCCTCTTGCCGATACTGTTTCCAGTTCCTCCCACTGTCACTGAACATCAGGAGGTAGCTGGTCACCCAGTTAGAGCTTCCATAGCCCCCTTGGGTGGCCACTGCGGTGATCTCCATTCTCTCTCCAAGGTCAATCTGTAGCCACTGGTACTTGCTGGACACAAGTGGAGACCAACCACCAGCTCCTTTTATGAAAATAGAAGACCAGAAAAAAATGGCAAAGAATTAGTTCAAGGTCTGTGTTAGTGGAGTAGAAATCCTAGTGAGAATGCATTCTTCCATGGAGATTTCGAAAACCAAATTTCCAAACCATGAAACTTCTCACCGAAAAACATGAATCTGATATGAACTGGGTGTAAATGAATGGAACCTATGTTAATTACCTTCATTTCTAAGTGCCATAACCTCATGACACTGGGAGGTCAATTCAATTAAGATTAAACTCACTGAATGTTTGAAGTGCTTAATCTGATAGGTAGAAATTCTTGCCAGCTCTTGGAACTGGCATGTTCGCGCACACATGCACATCTGGGTAAAGACTGGCCAGGGTCTTAGGGAAGACCTTCACCGTATGGGGCTGATATCTCAGATGTCAGATCATGTGTAACTCCTTAGAGAAATAAATATAGAATTAAGCCTGGGAATTCTAAGAAGGTAAAGGAAGAGTTCCAGTCCTCACGCATTTACAATCTTTTAGGAGGACAAACATTAAAAATCATGTTTGAAATATATCATGAAAATGTTAATGGTAAGACAAGGCAGAAAACTACCTTGTGTACCACAAAGGCAGGAATTCTACCTAGTGGCAGCAAGGACCTAACTATAGGGGGTGAGAAGTGATTACATTTTAAGGAATTCTGTAAGCTGATGATTAAATACAGCCATCCTTGCAATTGGGGAGCATTTACCATAATTTAATTAGAATTTAAACCATGGAACCTGGCAAACTTCACAAGTGAGCAAGCCTCCATCCCAAGTAGTTCACCAGCATACACCCCAGTCCTACCCTCACTGGGAGTGGAGTATCAGTGAGCGATGAGGCTGGGAAGAACTGGGAAGAAATCACAGAGCAAGCTGTGCTTGAGCACTTAGAAGTGAAAAGGGAAGAGCCTGCTGAATACTCTACTACGGGTAGAGCAGAATTTATCATGATTTTTTTAGTCTAAAACACCCCAGAAAATTAAGGGCATGCCCCTTGTGTGTCTCATTAAGGGGTTTCCTCTTCGGTTTAATACAGTAATGCTTTCTTTATTTGGGGTGGTCATTTACTTAAGGTAATATTGACACTGCTGATTGTTTATGCAATAGATCTTCACTATAAAAGTGATGAAATATGGTTTAACACACTCTTGAATCCATAATTAGCTAACATTCAAAGACCATTAAAACGCACCCCAAATAGGATTATAACATCCAAGTTTTCGCTCCACCTACCTTTAATACCTTTAATTTATATATACTTTTTACTCAAGCATTCTCCTTGATCTGTACCCTGCTTTATAAAACCCCAAGTCCAGTCCCCCATAAAAAGCCAAGCCCATTAAATGGCTCCTACAAGTCCATGAGACCTACAGAGACACCCCATGGGGCACAACTGAATTTTCCTTTTTTTCTTGGAAGCAATGTTTAAAAATGCTTTCCACTCCATACTTCAAACATATATTCTCCCTTTCTTTGGATCCAAAATATTTATACACATGGCATTTTTTTTTGTTAGGGGTGCCCATAATTTTCTCTGTATTTGCCTTGAATGATCTATGGATGAGCCTGTAGTCTGGATGGGTGGCGTTCTCACCAACACCACCCACTGCATCTAAGTTAGAGTATAATATTCTCATTTTGAGCTCACTGGTATATATGGGCCCTGGCTGGATTTGGAGACCTGGTATCATTTGTTAATCAAAGCAGGTTTGGCTATTCTCTCATCTTACTGCCCAGATGATGCAAATGAAGAGAATTTACTCCATAGGAAAGAACTCCTCAAATAGAACTTTCACACAAACAACTTGGGGAGTTCTTGAGCCCTCACTGAGAACTGCTCCCACAGCATTATTTGCTGAATCTCAGCCAGCTCTTCATATATATTTCATTTCTTCAGATGTGATGAAACCCATCCATTCTCTTCCACTTACCCCATTACTCTATTACTTAACATTAATTGAGCAAGTGAGAGTACTTCGTGTCAGGCACTCTGTGAAGGCAGCGCTATTAATTCTCAAAGCAGCCTGCTCTAGAGATGACAGCCACATACCAAGAGTCTGAACACCTTGACTCATCCACTACCTGGGACACACAATGCCTTCTATACCATTACAATACATTAATCAGAATTGGTAGCTCTGGGAAGCTGTAGACACTGGGTGCTAGTAGGGGCTAGGGGAGCTCAGGCTTTGGCACCAGACAACATGGCCAGCTCTTCTCCATTTAGCTATCAAGACCACACTTCTAGTATGAGCACATGACGGGGGTCTATGGGTAACTACATCCATCTACGTCCCACTGCTAACCTCACTGCTCTATTGCTGGGTGTCAGAAGTCTGGAAGTTCAAGTTCTCTGGGATCCAAAACAAATACCAAGCACTGTGGTCATTTTATGGCTGTGACTGCCTATCTCTGTGTTTTTAATCATTTTTTACATAGAAAAAATGAGAAAGAGTAAATGAAGTGCCCCTAGTCAGCCACAATCTTATCCTGACATATTTACATTGGCGTAGTAACTACATCTGCTTCTATCTCTGAGAAAATACTGATTATTTTGCTTTTTTGCTCCCTCTATGGAATTTGAATGGGCTAAAATAAGTAGTTAATAAAGTTATTGGCATAGATACATCATTTTGATTTCATAATATTTCTTGGACACTGTAACGCTTCTATAAAGATCACTATTTTAAAAAGTGAGCACAAGAGATGCACAGTAAGGAAAAAAGAAATCAGTGTGATTCTAGTGAGTAAAAAATTGGACCATCAATTCTCATCAGGAGGAAGAGGGGCCTCTTACTGACCGCTCCCTCTTCCCAGCATAGCTCACTGTTACAGCTTGAAACATTCCAGTTAATTGACCTTGAACATTTCAATTTCTCACCTGTGGTGAAAAGGTACTACTGATCTGCAAATGAAGCTATGTCATTAACAAGGTACACCAGTAAAGTAATGGAAATTCTGATGTTCTTAGCCTTCACCAGGTCCTTGCAGTGGGTAAGTCGGCCACAGGGAATGCAGATGCCCGCTGGGTTTTAAGCTGTGACACTTTGCAGTTACACTTAGTACAAGCGTGTGATGGAATGTTATGCTTGCTCTAATTTTCAAACAAATGTTGAACAGTAATCTGGAAAATACAAATCCATCGATGCAGACATACAGAATTTGGTCCACTTTCACAGCACCCTTCTTCGCCAACGGGTAGGGACAAAAGTGAAGTGAGATGAAAAGGTAACGGCAGCTGAAGTGAGACTTCACAGGCCGCAGAGGCCCGCTGCCAACACCTGACCTCCTGGAGACACACTATTGGCATAGTTACTTTCTTAATAAAGAAAACGGCAGCTGACGCCAGCAAATTATAAACTGAATTGCTACCAAACAAAATACAGTTAAAATTTTTGTTTACCTATTAAAAACCTTTCAGCTGCTGGTTATCCTTAACAAGCTGTGAGTGTGCCAGTAGCTTCAACCTCGCTGGAAACACAGCTATGTGACCAGTAAGCGTGTCACAGCGCCTCTGCTCCGCTCTAAGCTCTGACGACACCGGCCCACAGAAAACAAAAGAGCCTGCCCCTGGTGCATCTCTCCCACAGTGGAGGCTTCCCATCCTCCTCCTCCTCCTCCTGCCGGGGCCTCATTACCAAGACTCCCGTAAGGACAAGTGTCATAAATCTCTTCAAACAGAAACATTTCTTGACCCTTCCTCTTACAGCCTGAAAATTCACAATTAAAAAGAAAACCCTCCCCATTTATGAGGCTTTAAAATGAAATGTATGAAATGTAGTATTTCCACTATGAAACGCGAATCTGAACAGCATACTAAGTGCCCACTGATTTCTCTCACACACAGCAAGCAGGTGAATGTACAGGAGTTGTTAGTTTTTGAATTATAGAACAGTTGATTGTTGTTGACGCCAAACCAAGAATTATGATGGCAGTGGAGTTGAGCTTTGAAAAATTGAGCTACTGAATGACCAATAAACAAAGCATATGCTGTACCTGTTGCCTACCACTTTTAAACAAGTAACTTCTCATTACTTATTTTTAAAATGATTGTAATGCTGGAGATCTCATTTTTTAAATCAACCCTTTTTCAATTCTGTGTCCTTAGAAATACCTACACAACCATCATTGCCTACAGTGTTATATTTTATCCCCAAAATACACCCAAAGATTTTTTCAGTGTTGCTTGCTTAAAGAATGAGATTATCTAGATAAAGTTAGACTATTACCAATATTTAGTCCTGGTTGTAGATGCTCATGTTACAATAAATTGAAATCAACATGCTCTTGGTTGAAACATTAAAATGAAAATATATATATATATATCACTTATATCCTCTAGTCATTAAAAATGGCATGCCTACCCTGCCTGCTATTCCTTAGTAAAGGTGACGCGTCATCAAGACCATCACCTTAGGAAAGGTCGAAACTACAAAAAGGGGAGTTCTATTTCTTCCTCAAGATTTAAAGAGCAGAAGGGCACAGCTGCTCAAGGGCACAAAGCACAAGTGAACACAGCAGAAAGATAGTCCTGGACACCATGAAGGCATCTACATTTCTAGAAAATAGTTGGCTTAATTAAAACTGTCCTAAGAAAGTCTCCCTCTAAGGTAATTACTTTTTTCTCCACATGTGACTTCTTCTAGATTTCCTCAAGAGTCTAAGTATGCCCAGATCACTTTGATCTTTACATTAAATTACAACAACACAAGGAAACAGAAAGAACACAGGCCCCAAATTTGCTTGGCGCTCTTAAATGGTTTGCTGTGTCCCCGGGTCACCATTTAGAATAACAGCTTTGTATTTTTCTTTTTGCTGGAACAAAACATGACTGTATCAGTGCTGTGTGTGTGTGTGTGGGGGGGGGGGGGTCCTTTCAGCATCATGCTCCTGAATCCTGTCTTTGCCTCTGCTGGTCACAGGGGCCGCTCCAGGAACAGGGAGGTCACTTAAGCCAGGCCATGCGGGCAATTCCAAGCGTTGG